GCCGAGGTGGACGCCACCCTCAAGGCCCTCAACAACCAGATCGAGAGCATCCGCAGCCCCGAGGGCTCCCGCAAGAACCCAGCCAGGACCTGCCGAGACATCAAACTCTGCCACCCCGACTGGAAGAGCGGTGAGAGAGAGGCCCCAGCCCTGTGTCCATCCCTGTCTATCTGTGTCCATCCCTTTGTCCATCTGTGTCTGTCCCTGTGTCCATCCCTGCGTCCCTCTGTGTCCATCCCTGCCTCCATCCCTGTGTCCCCATCTTCCTCCTTGTCTCCTCCACCACCCTCCCGGCCACCAAGGCCCACACTGACCCCACCACGGGCGGTCACTCACTGACCCCGCGCCCTCGGTCCACAGGTGATTACTGGATCGACCCCAACCAGGGCTGCACCCTGGACGCCATCAAGGTCTTCTGCAACATGGCCACGGGGGAGACGTGCGTGTACCCCAGCCCCGGCAGCATCCCCAGGAAGAACTGGTGGAGCAGCAAGGCCAAGGAGAAGAAGCACGTCTGGTTCGGCGAGACCATCAATGGCGGCTTCCACGTGGGTGTCTGGGAAGGGCATGGAGGGGAAACAGGGTGCCTGGAGTTTCACAGAAGAGTTGGAGCTGCTTACCTTCCTGGGGGTGGAACTTTTGGTGGTTCTATCAGATATTGGGTGGTTTGAGGATTATATGGAAATTTTGGAGGTGATGTCCGTCCTGTGGGTGGAACTGGTGGTTGTTGGATCAGAAACGGTTAATTTAGGGGATTTTACTGAAACTTTGGAGTTGATGTCCCTCCTCGGGGTGAAATAGGGGGTATTTGGATCAGAACTGGTGGATCCAGTGGACTTTATGTAAATCCTGGAGTGGTGTCCTTCTTTGGGGTGAAATTGATAAGGTTTGGATCAGATATTGGTGGATTTAGGGAATTTAAGGAAAACTCGGAGCAATGTCCTTCCTTGAGGTGAAATTGATGGGTTTTGTATCAGAACCAGTTGATTTAGAGACTTTCATGGAAATCTTGGCACCAGGCCATGACAGTTTCCAGGTCTTGGAAAGCAAACTGTGGAAATTCCCCAAAAATACCCCCAAGAAAGCCCAAAATTCCCCAAAAATGCCATCTGAAATCTTCCCTCCCCCCTTCAGTTCAGCTACGGCGCTGAGGAGCTGGCGCCCAACACGGCCAACATCCAGATGACCTTCCTGAGGCTGCTGTCCACCGAGGGCTCCCAGAACGTCACCTACCACTGCCGCAACAGCGTGGCCTACCTGGACGAGGAGTCGGGCAGCCTGAGGAAGGCGCTGCTGATCCAGGGCTCCAACGACGTCGAGATCCGCGCCGAGGGCAACAGCAGGTTCACCTACAGCGTGCTGGAGGACGGCTGCACGGTGCGTGCTGGGAAGGAGAGGGGGCAAATCAGGGCAAATCCGTAAATCGCGGAGTTCACCACATAGGGAGGAACCCAGGAGGTCAGAGAGAGCGACCTGGGAGGTGACAGCATCTTGTCACCAAGTGCCACCAACCCGTGAGGGGACAGCATCTTGTGTTACCAAGTGTCACCACGGCCAAGATTTGGGTAACACCTCCAGCTGGCTGCGGTGCTCCAGGGATGGGGACTCCAAACCCCATTTTCCAGTGTTTTCCCCCTAGAAATACACTGAGAAACACGGCCCTTCTTGGTTTAACAATGAAATGGGGCTCAAACTGAGATTGGGAAGGTTCTAGGAGATTAATAAATCCATTTTTCCAATGCTAATGATAAATTTGGGGCACAAATTGAGATTAGGAAAATTATGGAGGATTAAATAACTCAATTTTTCCAATGCTAATGATAAATTTGGGCTCAAACTTAGTTCTGGAGGATTAAATAACCCCATTTTCACCCATTTTTTCCTTATAAATACACCAAGAAGTGGGGCCTCTCTATGCCTGATGACGACAAATGTGGGTTCCAACTGGGGTTTGAAGGGTTTGGCGAGGATGTAACAGGTTAAATGACCCCAATTTTGTCTGTTTTTACCTCAGAAACACACGGGGAAGTGGGGCAGGACTGTCATCGAGTACCGCTCGCAGAAGACCTCGCGCCTGCCCATCGTGGACATTGCACCTATGGACATTGGGGGACCCGAGCAGGAGTTTGGGGTTGACCTCGGCCCCGTCTGCTTCTTGTAAAAAAAAAAGGATTTTTTTGGTGTGGTTGTTTGTTTTTGGTTGTTGTGGTTTTTGTTTGTTTGGTTTGGTTTTTGTTTTTTTAAAAAGCCCGGCCCGATTCCTTAAAAAAAGAAAAAAACCACAAGAAACGGGATCCACCCCAAAAAGGAGCTGAGAAGTTCTGCACTGAAAGGGCTCACCCCAAATCAGGGAGCAACCACCTCATCCCAACACCAGAATCAAAGGAAAAACCCGTTAATATTTATTTATTTTCTTCCTGGAAGACCTGTTTTTGAGGTCAGGTGGAGGTGGGAATGTCAGTGATCCCTTTTTCCCTGAAAAAAAGATGGGATTTCACCAATCCAGGTATCAAAAATCCCCTCCTCACCCCGAATTTTCCCCTTTCCCCTCAGCAGGAGTGTTCATGTATAATATGAGTTAAAAAACACACAAAAAAATCAAAAAATGGTGCTATTCTTGTAAAACAAGTCTGTATTTTTTAACATCTGTTGGTATAAAATGAAAAAAATCTAAAAAAAATCACTTTTGGTCGAAAGTAAAAGTTGAGTTGAGTCTCTTTCTTTTGGGTGTGTTTGCAGTAATTTAAATATTTTCTCCCCATTTCAACCACCATGAAGTTCTTTAGATTGGGAAAAAATCCTATTGAAGTCCTCATTTTGGGGTAAAACTGCACATTTTTTGGGTTGGGATACTTCAAGCTAAGGGGGAAGAGGGGGGCGAAATCCCCCAGAAAAGACAAAAAAAAAAGGAAAAATTTGAAAGTGAAAAATTTTGAAGTAGAAACTTTTGGAAAAGCAGGAGGCTTAATTGTGGAATTCTTGTCCTATAATTAGGATTGGGACAATCTTGGTGTCACCAGGGCAAGGGGCGGCTGTCCCTTCCTCCCTACAAATTTTATCCTGTTTTCTACCTGCAAAAACTCAATTTTGGGGCTGTTTTGCAGCACTGGAAGTAGGAGACTCCACTCTTGCTGTGCCACAAAAAATCCCACATGGAAATTCCTCTCCTCACCATGCTGTTCATTACAGGCAAAAAGCTCAGAAATGGGATTTTTTTAATGATCTTGACAAAAATCAGCCCAGTGACCCCGAAGAGGCCCAAACCTGCTCAGATCTCTCCCGCAAGAGGCCCCAGGCAGCTCCTGGGTGAGGAATTCCTGAGTTTCACCCCAATTCTTTTGGGTCAAAACTCCTCTTTTTGCCTCTGTGGATGGCAAAGCTTCTCTTGGAGAAATTAAAACTTGAAAAGATTTTTAAAAACAGCTTTTTAAAAGCCATTTTGGGGCAGAATTTGAGTTTTAAACCCTCCCAGCTTCAAGTGCAGCAGCTGCCAGTTGTGGCCAAGCACCAAAACATTGGCAGGGGAAATTCATTAAGGAGGATTGGGGGATTAAAGAGGATTTTCCACCCAAAAGTGCCCTTTGAGACGCTCTCCTAATGATGGGGGCTCTGCACCAAGGGTTGGGGTCAAATCTTTCCCCTCCTGGTGCAGCCAAGCAGAAAATTCGGGGGTCCCTCCTGGGGGCCGCCCACCCAAAAAACCCTCCAGGATCCTTGGAAAAGTGGGATGGGGCTGGGGGCTAAGAGGGGGAAAGGGAATGAGGGGAGACCCCCAGAAAATCAGGATTAAACCCAGCCAGGAGGGGAAAAAAATTGAGAAAAAGCCAAGTTTGGGATTTCTTCCTTTTCCTAAAAAAAAAGGGAAAACTCAGTGGGAATTGGTCACCAGGGAAGGAGGTTGGGATTGGGATTCTGGGCACCGGTCCCAGCTGGGAACGGGAACCTGGTCAAGTTTTTCCCCCCTCATTTTCCCCCCAGAATTCCTGGGAAGGGCTGGGAAAAATGGGATTTTCCAGCCTGGAGAAGGGAAGGCTCCAGGGTGACCTCTCAGGAGAGCCAGGGACAGACCTGGGATAAAGGACAGAGGGACAGGACGTGGGGAGTGGCTTCCCACTGGGGTCTGGAGGTTTGGGTGGGATTCGGAGAAGGAATTCCTCCCTGTGAGGGGAGGGAGGCCCCAGGATGGAATTCCCAGAGGATTCCCCATCGCTGCGGAGGAGTTTTAGCATCCCCCAACCCATTCTGGGATTCTGCTGAAATCCATCAGCAAAACAGGGATTTTTGGGCAAAAAACAACACAGGAGCAACCCCAGCAGAGCACTGGACTTAGGACAAATCCAAAACTTTTCCTTAAAACAATAAAGGACAGCACATGGAAAGATCCAGATCAGGTTTATTGATTTCAGAAGAATTCAGCCTCACAAATGCTGAAGGGGCAGGAATCTCTTGCTGGAAAAGAGAGCGGAGTGTGGATTTTGTGCCACTGTCACCCCAAAATCCAGGGAAGATCCCCTCCCATGTAACTGTGTCTGGCTCCCGAATCCCACGGGAAAGGAGGGCTGAAATTCCAGAAAAAACCTCCCAAAAAGGGGCAAAATGCCAAAGGGCTGCGGGGGCCGGGCTGGCAGCTGGGCTTTGCTCGGGATAGCGGCTGGCAGGAATGTCCAGCTCCCGGCAGGGAGGCCTTGGAATCCCAGCCTCCCACAGAACCCCCTCCAATCCCCGCTGCTTTGGGAAGTGGAGCACAAAAAGCAGCAAATTCCCGGATTTCAAACCCCAGGGAAGAGCCTCTGGATGCCAAAGGGGTCGGAGCCACAGGGGGAAAATGAGAGAGAGATTAATTCCAAAGACTTGGGTTCCTTTGGCTCCTTCCAAAGGTGTAACAGAGGCTCATTCCAGGTGGGAATTCTCCCTTTTTTGGGGTCTTGAGGTGCTGCCACCATTGAGCAGGAAAACAAATTCATTTTCCCTGAAAAAAATAAACCCATTCACTCTCAAAAATTAAATCCATTTACCCCAAAACACCCTGATGGTGCCAAGCTTCCAGAACAGGTGCAAACCACTGCAAATCTCTGGGATTTCAGCCCTCGGTTCCGGATTCCTTGGCAGGAAGGAAGGGAAGGAGCATCCCCGGCAGGGCGGCGGAGGAGGCGCCGGGTCTGTCCCCGCAGAGCCGCTCGGGGGGCCCGCGGGGCCCTCAGGGCGTCCCCCGGGCCGGCGCCGTGGAGTTGGAGCTGCAGTCCAGGTAGTGGAAGGTCTCCAGGGTGCTCTGGGCGCTGTGGCCGATGTAGGAGAGCCTCACCGAGGTCCTGGCAGGGCAAAGGGACAGCCCAGCAGGTTTGGATTCATCACAGACTCCTCTTTTCCTCAAAAAAAACACCCCAAATTCCTGCGGGTTTTGGTGAAAAGGTGGCGATTGCAGCCTCTGGAAGGAGCTGTGTGCTCCACCCCATATTTACCCACCCTGGGCTGGATTAAAACATGACCCTGAGGTGGATCTGGGGAAAAACCCAAGCAGGATTTTCTCCCTGGGGCCCAAATCTGTGGCTGGAATTCCCCTGGGATTCAGGAACCACAGAACAGAATCTTAAGGTGGGAAAAGAGCTCCAGGAGCAGCACCCACCTCATGAGGATCACGATGTTGTGGACCTTCACCTTGGGCAAAGTGCAGAAAAAACTGGAAAACATCAAGGAAATTGGTCAGCAAGTGAGAAACTTGAGAAATTTGGGAATTTTTGGCAGCTCCTGCTGGTATTTTTCACTTTGGTGTTAACAAAACCATCTCCACAGCACCTTGAGAAAATTCCTGGCAAAGGAATTGAGCAGGAAAAGTGAGTGATTTACAATTAATTCCCCAAATTTTAATCAAAGCAGCTCCAACCCTCTCCCTCCCCAGGTATCTCCAAGGAGCAGTAAATCCTTACTACACATAGGACAGGGATCCACCCAGCTCTGCCTTCACGGTGAAATTCACCTGCAACAGAGCGGAAAAAAATCAGATTTCAGTGCAGCTTCATCACCTTTCAACCCCATTTCTGAGGGAGTGCACAGAGCAAAAGCAGCTGTGGCCCCTGGGCACTGAAATCACGAGGTGAACTCGCAGAGCTCCCGGTCAGTACCAGTTTGTCCCTCAGGGGCTGGATGCTGGAGACGTTGGTGAGCTGCTGCCTGCCCACCACGGTGTTCATGTACTGCACCTGGCTGCTCAGGCTGCTCACTGCCACCGAGTAGAAGTTGGAATTCCTGATCCTCAGCGTGGCCTGGAGGGGACAAAAACAGCCCTGACCTTGCTGGCTCTTTCCCCTGGGGATTTGTTTTCCCAAATCCATGGAAACTTTACCGTGATGGCCAGGAGGACAGTGGAGTTCTTCCTGTCAAACCACACCTGCACCACTTTGATGCCATCATCGTCCACCAGCACCGAGTGAGGGAACAGGAAGAAAACCCCCAGGCCAGACAGCAGCAGGCAGAGCAGCACTGAGAGCAGCACATAGAGTTTCCTGGGGGAAAAGAAAAAAAAAAAATTCTTCACCTCTTCTGCAAGATTAGGATCCTAAAAAACCCCACCCCCTGTTTGGTTTCCTTGGAAGAGGCACCCAAGAGCTGCTGTCACATTTTTAATATCAAGATGGCTCAAAATCCTCCCTTTGCACATTTAGGGTTGGGTAATGAGCAACCAAAGCAGCATTTTGGGGTCTTTTTGCAGTTGCTCCCAAAACTCCAGTGAGGGGATGGAAGGTGGGAGTGAGTTTGTGGTATTCATGGTAGAAATATTTAAAATCACACTTATACCCTATATTTTGGGGTGAAAACAGCCCCTAAAGCAATAAAAGAACTCCTCCCTTACGTTCTCTGAGGACGAAGCCGTTGGTCGCTGTAGGGGATCAGAGCCACCAACTCGTTCACCTGCTCTGGGAAGCAAAATGGGAATAACACATTAAAAAGTGACATTTTATGGGAATATCACATAAGTGACTTTTTTTTTTTTGCTGTTTAGAGCTGGATTTTGGGGTGCTTAGGCCCCAGAGGAGCAGCCACCTGAAGGGATGCGGCCGGTGCCTTGGCAGGTGGGGCAGGTGATGCTGTCCTGGCCCGTGAACTCCACGTAGGGATTCTTGGCCCCGTCCTGCACAGGCTCCTGGCTGACCAACACCTCCTCATCCTCCTCATCCTCGGCCTTCCTGCAGCTCGGGGCAGCGCTGGCGGCGGACAGGGAACGCACAGAGCCCATGGTGGCGGTGATGGGGATGGCTGTGTCACCTGGGACAGGCGGCAGGAGCGGCTCTGGGCTGTTAAAGGGGGTTTTGAGCCATTTCTAAACCACAGTCCCAAAGCCACCACAACCCCATCCACACGGGGCTTCCCTGGAGAAGGGGACACCTTGATGGGCTCCATTTCCAGCCACCCAAAACCCAGCGCTGCCCAGGCACCCCCTCCTCCAGTGAGAGCAGCATCTCCTCAGGCAGACCCCGCCCCAAAACACAGCCCCGGGGCTCGGAGCGTCCCCTCAGGAACAGCCCAGAGCCCCTGAGACGCCCCGAGAGGAACAGGCCCCACTGTGGACCCCATCTCAGAGACTCCCTCATCCTCAAGGTCCCCCTCCCTCAGGAACCGCCCTTTGAAGATCCCCTCTCTCAGAGACGCCCTCCCTCAGGAATTTCCCCTTCACAGACTCCCACCCTCGGGACCCCCTCCCTCAGAGCCCCCCTGTCCCGGCGCGCCCCTCACAGACCCCTTCCCTCAGCGCTCTCCGCCAGGGGGCGCCCCTCTCCCGTCGCCGCCGCGGCCCCGCCCCGTCCCCGCGCGCAGCCGCCGTCGCTATGGCAACTGAGGGCGGTGGACGTGGGCGGGGACTCATATGACCCCGCCCGTTTCTCCTCACGTGAGATGGGCGGGGTTACAAATACCACGCTCATCTAGTGGGACAAACGTCACAGTGTAGGGCGGGGTTTAGAGAGCCACGCCCCGTCATTTCACCCAAAGCGCACGCGCCAATAATCAGGGGTGTGGTCAGTGACCACACCCTTCATTTGCATGTGATAGGCGTGGTCATATTCGCGCAGGCGCAGAAACAAGGTGTCGTTCCGGTTGGGCGTGGCAGGGCGGGGCAAGGCGGGGCGTGACGTGAGTCGCGCGCGTGCGCGCGACGGGGGGCGTCCCGTTAGGAGCGCGCATGCGCTGGAGGGCGGGGCTTGAACCAGTGTGGATCTCAGGAGCCCCAGTTTGGGGATCGCTGTCCCAGTGTGAGCCCCCTCACACCAGTACAGACTCGGGCCGCACCAGTGGGAGAGCCCTGCTCCCAGCACGGAGCGGCCTCACACCGGGACCGAGCGATCCCGAGCAGTCCGAGCCCCCCTGTCCCGGTCCGGAGCGGTCCCGAGCGGCCCGAGCCCCCTGTCCCGGTCCAGCCCAGCATCACCTCCAGCCCCATTCAATTTCTGAGGAAACGCCCCCAGGCCATTCCCTCCCACCTCCCCCCCAGCCCCGACAGCTCCCGGGTCCGTTTTACTTCAATAAATTCCCTCCCGCGGGACTTTCCCCCAGCACACCCCAGAGAAAAACGATGGGAAAAAAAAATCCCTCCCTCTCCCAATTATCCAAACTACCAAAATAAATTTAATGGCAAAATTAAAATATTTTGCGAGCTCCAGAGGCACCTCCTGCTCGACCGCGGGAGACGTATCCCATGGAAATTTTATGGATCATTTCTCCTCTCCTTCCCAGGAGCGAAATTTCAGGGAGGGTAGAATTCCCTGCTCTCCTTCCTTCCCGCACCGTCCCGGGGGCTGAGGCATGAAGAAGGGCTGGGAAAGGAAAAGGAAGAGGGATTGGGAAAGCAGAAATCCCTGCCAGTCCCTTGGGACGAGCTCGACCCCGCAGAGAATCCCCAGAGCAGGGAAAGAAGCGAAAATTCCCCCCGCAGCCTCCCCTCGGCTCCTGTCGCGTCCTGGGTTAGATCCCTGGTTTTTTACCAGTTTTTTTCTGCCCCCAAACCCAGCGGGAGTGGGCGGAAGGGGGAAAAGCCCCTTTTCCAGCCAGCAGGCGGGACTGTGGAAGCGCTTCCCGGGAAATCTCCGCTCTCCCGGGATGGGGCGAGCCCGGACCCATCCCCGGGATGACGGATCACTGCTCCAAGGACCGGGAAATACCGGACTGGGGCTTTTCTCCTCTTTTCCATGTGTCCTTCAGGGATTTCTGAGCCTTGAAACGGGATCGTGGAATCGCAGGATTTTTTAGGAGGGATCTTGGAGCTCATCCAGCCCCGTTTGTCCCACAGGTGCCGCCCTCCCAGGTGCTCCAAGCCCCGTGCAGGGACAATTCCGGGGGTGGCAACGACGATCCTTAAGGTTCCTTCCGAGCCCAAACCATTCCATGAAGATCTGGAGATCCCACTTCCTGCCACTCCACATCCCCGGGCCATCCTCCTCCTCCTCTCCCAGCCCCGCCGATCCCTTTTTCCAGGCTGGAGCAGCACAAAAACCGCGGCTCCCGCTCACAGCTCTTGGGATTTGCAGGCAGGAATGAAATTCCGTGCAGGAATTAAATCCTCCCGAATCCTGCCCGTGCCGGCTGTCCCGGGTATGCGGAGCAGAGCCGGGATTTGGCCCCACACCCCTCGTGCCGGGTGAATTGAGGGCAGAAAAGCAGCAGGGAATCAGGAGAGAGGGAGAGAATTCAAGCCCTCCTCGGCCACCAACTTTCCCAAAAGCTCAGGGGACACAAATTCCCGGTGGGAAAAATGTAAAAATTTGTATGGAAAACGCGTCTCGCTGGCATGGCCGTGCCAGTGGGGAAAAGCCTTAGAAGATTTTGGGACATTTTTTTGGCATGGAAAGAGAATCCCAAAAGCACTGGGATGGGGATGAGCAGCTTCCACCACTCTCCCGAAATCCTTCCGCGCCACGAAATTGCCTCTGATGAGCTCCTATTTCTTCCCAGACGTTGTTTTCCCCTCCTCGGCCTCATTAAATCAATTTAAAGGCGATTTCGAAGCGTTTTCCCCACGCAAACCGCGGCGGCTGAACCCGGTGCCCGCGGCTGCGGGGGCTCTGCTGCGCCGGGGGCTCGTTTGCTCCCGGGATTTTGGGTTTAGGGGACACCCGATAAACCCTGGAGCGGCAGCAGCAGGGGTTCTCTGGGAGCTCTCTCGCTGCTTTATTCGGTGCTGCAGGTGGCTGCACCCGGGTGGGGATGTGAGGAAGGAAATGGGGAAATTGCCGAATATCCCGATTTTTTAGACTGGGGGTGCAGGGTGCCCAATCCTTGGGTTGGGGTGGGCTGAGCTGGTTCTGCCCAAAATCCCACATTCCAAGCCACCAATAAGAGGATTTTGTATGGTCAAGGTCGGTTCTTGCTCTATCCCAAATACTCTCAGATTCTTCAGGAGCAGCCAAATCCAGGTGTCCTGCGGGTCCCCAGGCCGGGATCACCCTCGGGCTCTGAGGGGACAGCAGGAGCAGCCGGAGCCTGCAAAGAGCCGGGAGTGCTGGGGGTAGCACTCC